TGATCACGTTGGGTTTGGTTGTTGGATTTTAGAAAAGCTATATGCCGAAATGGTCCTGCCTCTCAACTGTCCTGCCTGGTTGATCCTTACTTAATATATCATGACGTAGACTCTGAGTTAATGATGAATCTAGACTAATAATTATTCGCAATAAATATTAGACTAAAATCTAGTAATAATGATACTAGGTTTCGACGGAGGAAAATAAATTTGTTAGAAGCGAAGCGCTGCCCGAATTACGAAGCGTCACTTTAACAAGTGAGTGCATAGTTACTTTCATCGTACACATAGATATGAAGTATTTGGATAATTACATGCTTATGTGCTTATTATCTTATGTCATGAATATTATGTGTTAGATAATATATTATGTGATGATGTTTAACTGCTTTAATCATATAAGTATTATAGACTTACAAATATGTATTGGATAGCGACGGGTGATGAGAGATAGGTGATGATAGAAAGGTGATGATAGATATGCGATGATGAATAGGTGATGCGAGATAAGAGACGATTAGGTGATGCCATAACCTTGACCTGCGATGTTGCAATGTTGATATGTACTCATCTACCAGAGTAGATATGACGACCACTGACTAATCTAAACAAGTCATATGGAAACATCGGCAGACTCATAACCTGTAGGGGATGAATTACGAGTTCAGGCGATGTAGTAACTACGTATTCATGCGATGATACTCTAACCCTTACTGGACACGTACTGGGGGAGTAATCCCCGAATCAGTACTGTCTATGCGATGTAGGGGATGATCCTTAGGAAAAGTCCTTAAGAACAAACATATAAGGGAATGCGATGTAAGGCGATGAAAGGTAAATACGATGTAGGGGATGACCCTTAGGGTAAATCTTTAGGGAAGAATAAATAAAGAAAATGGGGATGGGTAATCGGGTTAATTGTTTGACATGAAGTATGTGAAGAAACAAATTAACTATATTATTATGGGTTGAAAACCCTATGTACTCACCAGGTTTCCCAACCTAACCCACTCAGTTTCTTTGTGTCACAGGTATCGATGCAAAGATACATTACACTAAGAGATTAAAGGAGATGTAAATCATTAGTGTAAATGAATGTAAGGTCAGTTTATGCTTATGTTTATGTATTGACGATGACATCCCAATGTTTTAATATAAATAAAATACATTTCTTCGAAAATGATTTGATAATATCTTTATCATGTTTTCTGGGAACAAATTCCGCAATATTATTCTTTAAAATGGATACTCTGATTTTAAAATGAGCATAAATAAATTTTTTAAAATGACCATGAATTTGGGGATGTCACAAAATAGACCGAATGGGATTGCAAGCACCCAAATATGCTTGGTTGCATGTTTGTATGGTATGAGGTATTTTGGGGGAACTCACTAAGCTTTGTGCTTACTGTTTTAAGTTTATGTTTCAGGCACTTCCAGTTCGAATGGGAAGGGCCCGACATGATCGCACCGCATCACCTTGTGTTTTCCGCATTATGAGATTTTGCGATTTTGTACTCTGATAATATGTTACCATGATACACTTTTACTGATTTGATATGAGTATCGTATGTTTTGCATGAACTTAAAAACAAAATTTTTATCTGTATTTTGGGATGTTACAAACATGAGTAGTACCATGAATAGATTGAAGAAACAGTTCATGATTTTCAGCTTGAGAGAGTAAGTCACGGGAGACAGGAGCGGGCTTGGTGGTGCGTATAGATGTAGAAAAAGTTTCAAAAGAAGCACCTAATCTACATAGGAACCCGTTTATTTTACCGATTTCATCAACGGGCTGCCCGATGGCAGCAAGCTTGTCACATATATTCTTAAATTTTTAACCAAAGTTAGAAATAGAAGAAGTACAGAAATCTGCTGGAGAGATTCTCTGAGAGAATGAATTCTTTCAACTGAAGAGTTGTTAGGCGGTCTCTAATGCAACCCTTATATTTCAAGCTGTTGGAAGCCCAAGAACTTCAATCGCTGCCTCCCCGGTGAGAGAGGAGTTAAGGAGAATGACCGCTTTTTTATCAAGATCCAAACAGGTGGAGTAGGCGGGATTGGGAGCAACCTTGCCTTCGACAGTGATGGTGGTCGGCGGTGCTTCTGAGGTCCCATTGATATGATCATATAATTTCTGATAAGAAATGAGAGATAGTATCTGATTTAGCCACAAAAGGTAATTTGTGGAAGAGAGCTTGATAGGGGTCATGTGAAGAATTATGTTCATAGGAAACGTGCCATCTTGAAAAGTCGACATTGAAGATGACAGAAGAGAAAAACGACAGAAGTAGGGTTAGAGGGAGGTAAGAATCGATGGTTTTATTTAGGCTGATACCATACATAAAGTAATTATTGGAAACCACACGTAATACCGTGTGTGTGTTTGTGTATTTATATTAAAGGAGAATAACAAATAAACAATATATACTACTGATATGGCGGAGTTGATAAATACATAAAATATACAAAGACAATTGATCATAGCTAATCGAATACGCAGACATCAAAACGTCTATGCATCATCTTTTCCAAAAAGACATGGATCAAAGTCTGCAGGAAAGACATTTCATACAAGCATCTTTTAGACATAGTAATAATAATAATAATATATTATTTAAAACATAAGCACTTATATACACACATTTTTTTTCATTTCTGTTTTTTTTTTCACAAACACATGCACACCTGTTTTCTTAATTCATTTTCTTTTTAATTTAATATATTAAAAATAATAAAAAAATTATATTTATTTCTTTATCATAAAATATTGGATTTTCATTTTCTAAATCATTTAAATAATCATCTAATTACTCAAAGCCTAATCGTTGATTTTTTGATATTTAGCACATAGTTTTATTTATTTATTTATTTGATACAAATAAATATGTCCAATAAAACATTTACTTGTTTGAAGGACATGGTAGTATATCAGGACCAAAAATGTATAATTCAGAATGAAATTGCTTAATAAACATAGGAACATGGAAGGATGTAAATACGATGAATTTTGTTGGGTTTTTCCTGATTTGGGTGGGGCTGATGGCGTATTACAACAAAGAGATGGCATTGGTGTTATTGTGAGAGGGTCGTATAGGCGATGGTGATACATATCACAACAAGCACACCTATTGGTAGTGATTTTTGGGTTAGGAGTCTCACCGGAGAAGGTGGTGGTGGTTTCTAGCGTGGTCCTTGGTTAACATCCTATTCTCATAGGTGTGTTTGCTTATGTGACATATCAACTACATACATGGCAAGGGTGATCGGTTGTAAGGTGCAAAACCTCATAAAATCAATTAAGGACAAAAGCTTTTCAAATATTAGACATTAATGGACATAAAATCTGATTTAGGGTAAAACCATTAATTTATGTCAAACTTAAGAGCTTTTGTGACAATATCGATCCTATAATCTTTCAATAGGTTTTTATTCAGGGGATATGGGTGATCTATAGAGATACACAAAACTTGAGTTGTAGTCTAAAACCAAGTAATCATATTATTTGCATGTGAAATATTTTTTTGGGAGAACTTTAGAAATACTCTATATTTTTATCAAATCATTAAAAAACAAACTTTATTATTTTTTTAATACGTTAAAGCATTTATATTTTTGAAATTGTAAATTTAAGACTTTGAGATCGAAATACCTTAGATAGTGGTAAATGCTAGATAATCGACTCTCGATGGTTTGTTGGTTACAATCCATTAGATTAGATTTTTTTTGAAAATATAAGGGTTTTGAAAAAAAATCCACTATGTTTAAGGTCCTTAGCTTAAAACATATGGTTGGTTTCAATAAAATGGATATATTCTCAACCATTCGAATCTCATATCCTTAGCAACATCATAACAATAATTGCTAGTCTTGATTTGGGTTAAAGGGGGGCTAAAATGATCAACACCATACTTTCCTCAGTAAAGATAATTTAGAAGGCTCATAACAGACTTGTGTTTGGGAACCAAAAAGTGGATACGAGAAAAATCTTAGATGAGATCCAAGTGATGTCGTTTATATGCATAAAAAACTATACCCTGTAGTGCTCTATTAGCTAGAAAGAGTGGAGTTGTTCTACTCTTAGTTTTGTAACGATATGCAAGTAATTATAAGTCTTATGGCAGTGACGTGTCTTATAGAGTGTATGAGGGTTTGTGGTGAATATTTGTAATTATTTTTAGCTCCTTGTTAGCCTTACTAATATACATCTATTAAAAAAATTCACTCACCACCACTAAGCAAAATTTGATCAACAAACATATGTCCGTATAATATGCGCTTGAGATTTCTTTGTGAGAATACAAGAGTGCTTCCTAGAGTACGTAGTTTACCAAATATTATCAAGAATCGTTTCGCCAGAGCAAACTATTGAGTTGTGCTCGGATGATATGAAGGAAACTAGGATTTCTAGGGTTATTTCCAATGATCGGATAAGTAGAACATTCATGTTGTCTTTTGTATAAAAGAATGATGGAAATTGTCTCTCCTATATTTTGCATATTTTTATGGGATAAATTGAGATAAATTTATACTTCTTGTTGACCGAATAACCTTAGCTTAGTTCCAGTTGTACAACATATTTGTCATGATTTGTCCTACATAAAAAACAAAAACTTGAGGCTATTCAACAAGATTACCCGTCAACTAAGAGTAGCAATGTTTAGGACCCAAATACATTGAATTTATTAGAATTGAATGAACTATTAAATTTATTAAAGTTTAATGAAGTGACATATTGTTTACTATCTGTACATTTCTATCGAAATTTGTATAGAATGCACTGAAGTGTACATCTCTACCATATTATTTACTATGTGTATATCTCTATCAAAAATTTTATAGAATGCACTGAACTCTATAGAGTTCAATGAACATATTTTTAATGATTAAAATGTTTCATTTTCACATTTAAAAGTTCAATGATCATTAAACTTCATATTTATTAACATGACATTCTATAATAGTAGAGTTTAATCATTTGGATGTCTATTAGACATGTCGCCTCATTCAACTCGCTTACTGAACTATACATTGTGAATGTTGTTACATCAACCATAATCGACGATATTGACAAAATATTACTCCAAATCCAAATGCAAAATCCATTAAGTGTAAAAAGGTGCTTCTTGTATGTTCTAAACGTGACGAAGTAACCTTACTAGCTTAAAGCTTCTCATTCTTCGTATCCACATAACCCCTATGAAAGAAATATAAATTTTACCTCGTGAAATTAACGAATAATGGATCGGCGTATACATGCAACAGTTGTTTCCAGAGAGAGGAGTTTAGGCGCCTTATCTTTCGTTTTCTTCTAGGTCACTCGATACAAGGCGAGTCTGAGATCGTACAGACATTTTCAGTGGCTTGGCTCAATCGAGTTTGGTTTGTAGCCATCATTTAACTCTTTTGTTGGGTTCAAAGACATACTTGATAATAGAATCTTTTATAGACAACAACTCTGGGAACTCTTTCTTGAGCTTAGAAACATCCAACTCATTGTTGCTTCTTGGAGCTATTATCACTTTGGCTTGTTCTTCTAAGTTGAAGTTAACCCATTTGAATTTAGGGTCTATGTATTCTTTGTACAACTCCAGGATCTCATTGTGGCTCACAATACCTGGGTTTGTGAAGTTCCAAACCCCTTTGCATTTCCTCTTAGCCATCTCTATTGATATCGGTAGGAGCTCGTCTAGTACACTCATACTGTTGGGTATGTTCACCACCTTACTGTAACGCGTGATCTTTGTTATAAAGTTCCGCATGTTGCTTAGATCTGATGATATCGGCATCCTTAATCTTAACGAGCAAACATTGTTGTATTCCCTTAACATCTCCTCCACCTGAACATTCAAGAAAAAACAGAATCGATTATTATATAAATAAAGACCCTTCATGGATTTCTTATATATAAAGTCATTTAAAAGTTGTGGTTAATTACCATAGCCTTTGTCTTGGAGTAGAACGACCCTGTGAAATTAGGTTCATCTTCTTCCTTGAATCCGCGTCCAGAACCCTGAGCATGATCTTTATCGTATTGAAATATGCACCCGGTAGCGAAGTTCATCAGATAAATACCTTCTTGGTGGCAAACGTCGGCTAAATTTAGGGTTCCAACGACGTTTGTTCTAATGGTTTCGAGCTTATGTGTTTCGCACCAATCCACATTAGTCCTTCCTGTTACACCAGCCGCGTTGATCACATGCGTAGGTCGTAGACTACGTATATCGTTTAACAACATTTTTCGATCTTCAAGCTTTCCTCGCCCATAGGCATAAGGGATCCCCTTCTCCATGCATATTTTTCCCAAGAGTCCTCCTATCCAACCCGTTCGGCCATAGATCATGAACTTAAGCTCGCTTTTCGAGATGCCCGAAGTTGTATACTGCATCATCAAGAACTCTTCCTCGGTATGCGATGGGACACTCATTGAGATCCGAGGATGAGGGTGAAGCGCATGCCCGACGTTGCCCCACCAATCAGGGTTTTCACGATACCATGCGATGGTCATCCTTAACCCAGCTTCCCATGGAGTCCTTTCCTCCCACCCTAGTTTCTTGAGCTTTTGATCATCCAAGAAGTATCGTTTATCGTTGAATGGCCTATCATTTACAAAATGTAATGCTTTTTCGATATCAAACCCGAAAAGATTACAGATATCTCTAGCTACATCTACCACACTCCTCTCCTTCTTGGTCCCGATGTTATAAACATGTCCGATCACGCCTTTATGAAGTATCACATCAAACGCCTCCGCGACATCCCCACAAAACAAATAGCTTCTCACATTCGATCCGTTGCCATGAATTGGCAAAGGGTCACCCCTCATCGCGAGCAAAACAAACTTGGGTATGAGCTTCTCAGGGAACTGGTTTGGGCCATAAACGTTGTTTCCTCTTGTTGTGATGATCGGCAGCCCATAAGATCTATGGTACGCCATCACCAACATTTCTGCACCAGCTTTTGTAGCGGAATACGGATTCGTGGGAAGTAATTGCGACGCCTCAGGGTTCCCTATATCTGTCTCTAAATCCGATTCGCCGTACACCTCATCTGTACTCACATGAATGAACCGATTGATGCGTCTAGTGACCTTGCAAGCTTCTAACAACACATGGGTTCCATAAATGTTGTTTGTAGTGAACTCAAACGAGTTTCCAAACGAATTATCTACATGGGTTTCAGCTGCAAAGTGCATAATCGTGTCGATTTCTTCTGCATCCAATAGATAGTTGATGAGATCTGAACTTGCGATATCTGCCTTGACAAACTTGAAGTTTGAAGATGTGAAACATGGCTGAAGATTCTTGAGGCTCGAGCAATAGTTAAGCTTGTCAAGAGCAATAATCTTGTAATTTGGGTAGTTCGACACAAGACGCTTGGTGACATGGGAAGCTATGAATCCTGCTGCACCAGTAATGAGTATTGTTTTTGGAGCTGATTCAGATGACATTCTTGTTTTACAGATTCATGCAGGGAGGTGGAGATCTAGTGAGAGAAAGTGAGATCTGGGATTCGTGCATGGAAAGGAGAGAGTTGGAAAGAAAACAGGAGTGAAGGTTAAGAACCATGATGCGATATAGACGATGGGTTCTTGGTGATTTCGAGGCTCCATGTTTGCCTCCATTTATTAAGTGGAAGTCTATGGTACGTGTTGTATATCCCGCCAATGTGTATTTTCATGCTTTAATTTCATGGAATTGGTATTTTAGTTATTGCATCAAAGAGTCCAATAATTGGGATTTATTGCAATCCCCACCTTGCTTTTTCCAGTATGTTACAATTAAAACCTTGATTATGTTAGTTTGCATCTTGAGTTAAGATTTAATACCAAAAATACGTTCACGGTCCTAAGTAAACACACGAACGGCCTATTAAGGAGAACAATTTGAACAAATTAAAAAATTATGGTCATATGAGACGGCGAACAATATTCCAAATGAATATGTAAAAACTAATGCTAACAAAACATAGATTTGGGTGTTCTACTATAAGTGGCTAGGTGGCGTGACACACCCATCACAATACACTACAAGAAATTTTCGATTTAACTATGGAAAAATTCCGTAGCAAAAAGCTAAAATTCTGTAGCTAAACCTAAATAACTACGGAAGTTGCTACGGAATTTGCCAATGAGATTTCATAGTAAGATTTCTTGTAGCAAAATGTTTAACTACGAAATTATAGTTCCGTAGCAATTTTGCTACGACCGTTGCTACGACGTCTGTCCATAGCATTTCAACTACAACACACTTCCATCATAATTCCGTAACAATGAATTCTGTAGCAAATTTCGTATCTATTTTGTTCCGTAGCAAATTCCGTAGCCATTTGGTCCAAAGCAAATTCCGTAGCAAGTTCCGTAGCCATTCGTTCCGTAACAAATTCCATAACCATTTGTTCCGTAGCAAATTCCGTAGCCATTTTGTTCGTAGCAAATTCTGTAGCTATTTGTTCTGTAGCAAATTCCATAGCCATTTGGTTCGTAGCAAATTCTGTAGCTATTTGTTCCGTAGCAAATTCCGTAGCCATTAGTTTCATTGCAATTGTTTCCATAACAATAGGTTCAGGTGCAAATTTAGTATGATAAAAATATTCAACAAAATCCAATATTCCAATTATAATATTCATAAAAATATACTAAGTATAAATTTAATGGTTACATCAATTTTATAGATATATTACATCATCGAAAATTCTTCTACAAGGTTGTCTAATCATCAATATTGAATATTAATAACAAATACAGTCACACAGTTTAGATTTGAACGACCATGAACACACAGACACCCACATATGCTCAATCAAAATGGCAAAACCTGCAAAATCAAATTTACAATCAACTTGATTAAAATTCTATTTGTTGTACAAAATCCCAATTTGTTTTGCTTTTCGTTGTTTTATTTCAACCTGATGAAGATGAAAGAAATAGAACATAACTTTTTGTTTCCAAAACTAACAAACCATTAATAAACTTGTTTACTTATTATACACATATTTATTTAGTTTTTTGTTAACTTACTTAGCCAAAATAAGATTATAACTTTTTCAATTAAGAAATGGCACAAGTTATCAACGGGAAAGTGGTTCACTTTTTCAATTTCCTCATCAAGAATTCTCTGTTTCAAAACAACTAAAAGCAAATTCAGATAAATTTATAAATAATAATCATATTTTTAAGTAATGGGAAGAAAATTGATTCTTATTAGTTCTTACTCTTATGTTATCTTAGAATTGAGATGAAAGTTTCTTCGAGTAACTATCACGAAGCACAAAGCAATGAAAGTATGTTTCTATTTCTTGCATTTAAAAGGAGTACAAAGAAATACCTTTAAGCATTGCAGGATTAAGCTACTAACAACTCCTGAAAGAATCGTCTTTTTCCTCTGTGAAAAAAGAAGCAGGAATGTAGCGAGAGAATGTCCACAACTCTTTCTGAGGTATAACCACAATGTTGTCAGATCACCTTAGTCTTCAAATAACTGCTGAAAAAAAAAAGTTGAAACAAAGAAAAAAAAATAAGCTTTATCTCAACAAAAGAAAAACAAAGAAAGAGTTGAAGCAGTTCATGCCGTTAATTCATATTGCATACATAAAGACTATTTGAGTATGATAAATGACCATTTTACCCTTCACCAACTTAGCACATTATAACATAGATCAAAGGAATGGTAGGAAGGGAAAAAGGGGTGTCTAGATGCTATATAGGGTACTTTGTTCGCTTAACCCATTAAGACATTCCATCCATCAAGTAAATATTGTTTTATACATAAAGACTGTTTGAATAAGATAAATGACCATTTTGCCCGTCGCTGACTTTACTCATCAAGATTCAAGACCAATAAAGACATTATAATATTGTGAAGAAGAAGGAAATAAAATCATGAAAATGAAAGACTTTGGAGAAAAAAAGACCAAAAGGGTATCTGGAAGCATTCATTTTGTAAAGAAATGTGTATAAGTGTTAAAACACCTTGTATGTGCATGAAGTACAAGTTGTGAAGCAGCCCTTCCATGCAAATAACTTTCATGTTCTGTTCTGAATATAAAATTCTCAGCCATGGAATCCCAGTTGCCCAGAAACTAACAGAAAACAATACAAATCCAGTTGGACAAATGAAATAACCATTTTGATTTCAGTGAAGGTTGGTTTGGTTGACAAGAACATCCATTTTTTGGTCAAAGTTCTCTACTGTTGACCAACCATGACTGACATGTAGACAAGCTTTAATGGTAATTATTAGCTTATCATTTCAAGGTGATAAATACTTCAAAGTAAAAAAGGAAAAAAATTTCAATTACATGGTAATCTTAAGTGTATCTTTTAAAAACATTGATTATTTCAACTCTCCAGATAAGAAGATTTCGACATTTTGTTTTCCGCATCTCTTCTCTTGTCTTTATTTAAATATAATACACCATTTTTAGTTTGACCATTGTTAGTATTCTCTATATTTTGTTTCTTATGGAGCTTTTCTTGATATCCCGGGCCTATTCTTTATTAACTATTAGGATGACCTATAAAGAAAGTAAAAAAAAAAAAAACAGTATGCTCCTAGTCATTCTCTTGTCCATATGTTACATTTTCCATAAAAAAAACTTTGATTTAATAAACCTAATAGTATTTGGTATCTCATGACTTACTATACAACAGTTATGTTGTCTATAAACATAAACATTTTAAGCATATATACACTCAGAATCAAATACAAAATCAACAAAATTACCCCAAAATAGTCAAAAGGAAACCTTTACAAACCATCAAGCAAAAAAGAAGTGAAATTATCGGCTAATAAATACAATATTAATGCTAAAGTCTCCAATAAATCAGCAAACATTATAAAATTGATCAAATCATATTTACCAGCCCTAAAACGAACAAAAACTTGTCACTAACTACAAACAAGTGGATGCATAATGTTAATGCTATAATTCAATATATAACGATAATATAAAGGCCATAAAGAAACTTATTAGATCATGTCAGATTGATTAATCACTGCATCAAAATCCACAATTCGCATCAAATGCAATAAAATCGATCAATCAAATTCACCAATAAAAATTTGAATCAAACTGCGTGTATGGATTGACAGAGTTAACAGAACATTGACTCGCCTCGGATTCAATGGAGAGATCAATAGATCCTTCAGGTCATTAGATGATAGAAAGAGAAAATCGAGCAAACAGAATAGAGAATAATGTTAATGTTACCTGTACGGATGAAGACGATCGAGAAAAATCTACCGATTGACGGAGCAGGCGGCGGACGACAAAGCAAACGAGAGTGAGAAGAGCTCCCTATAGAGTGAAGTCCGATCGATAATGACGTACGTGGAGATCAGGGGAAACTGAGGAACGAGGAATGAGGAATTAAGTTGAGAGAGGGAGAGATGCGATCGGCGACAAGTCATGCCATTGATAATTTTCAGCAGTTTGATCGGGATACCTCTAATTTTCCATCAAAGGTAGTGTTTGCAGAATTTTTCATCAAAGGCAGCAAAAAAATCATTCAGAGCAGCATATGGCTTGCAACCTAACTGAGTGACTTGCAAACCGGCGTGATGGGGATACTGAGATGCGATCAACGACCGACGTGATGGGGAGGCTCAGCAACGGCGACAAGTTGAGAGGGGGAGAGATGCTAAAATGCGATCGGCGACAGGTCAAGGTTTGAACGGGATACCTCTGGTTTGGGGAGGAAGTATATTTGGGTTATGTGGATTTACTAATTTGCCCTTAATAAATCACTGAAACAACGTTATGGCTCAAGTAATTCATTAAATACATTAAGTTTCTAAACATGTTTCCATTCTTTTTTTTTTAACAAAAAGACCAAAATAAAACAAGTTAATTCTTTTTTTTTTTTAAGAAACAGACGGTGAAGGCTGAGGGTAAATAAAATTTGATTTAAGGGTAATAATTTCCAAAGCCTCAAAACATGGGGATAATATTATTATAAGAAAATTAGCAAATGTATGTCATCAAAGTCTAAAAATTGCAACTAAAATGTAGAAATTATATTATAATGAAAATTTCAAAACAATTAAAAATAATATTTTCTTGTTTTTGTTGAGTTTTCAAAGATAATTGAGTATTTTTTAATATATATATATTTTTAAATAATCTTCTATATTTTGCCACGGAAACATATTTCGTAACTACTTGACTACGGAATTTTCCATAGTCAAATACCTACGGATTTTAACTTCGTAGCTATTATGCAAATTCACCTTTTCGTAACAAGTTCCATAGTAGATTAGCTACAAAATTTTTTATTTTGTAGTAAATTTTCTTAGCAAAATAGCTACGGATCTCAATTCCATAGCTAACTAGCTACGTATTTTATTTCGTAGCCAATTATGTAGCCAACTAGCTACATACATGGATTTTGTAATAAGTTCCGTAGAGAACTAACTACAACCAAAAAACTTGTAGCAGTATTTGTAGTAAACTACCTACGGATTTTAATTTCGTAGCAACTATTCAAGATTTAGCTACGGAATGCAATTTCGTAGCCATTTCCGTAGCAAACTAGTTACAACCAACCATTTTGTAGCATATTTCGTAGTAAAATAACTATGAATTTAGATTCCGTAACAACTTTACGTAGCTATTTAAGATTTAGCTACATAATCCAATTCCGTAACCATTTATGTAGCAAAATAGCTACAACAAGTCGTTCCGTAGCATATTCCGTAGTAAAATAGCAACGGATTTTGATTCCATAACAACTTTCCGTAGCTATTTAGGATTTTTCTTGTAGTGATATATAAGGGGCAGCACACATAAATTTTAGAAGTACAATGCCAGAAAAATAATATCATACCAAAAAATTTCCATTGTGACTACAAATTTAAGGTCCGCCCTTGTGACTACTATGGAGGTGATATTGTACATGTAAAAAATAATAGATCTTATATTCCAATGAGAACCATAACCGAGCAAATTATAAATGCCAAACTAAGATAGAAACATATTGAGATGTTGTATAACCCACTAAATCGCTTCCTCTACATGATAACGTACAATTTCTTTTCCGAACACACAACATCAAATCAATTTACTTGGATGAGACACTCTAAAATTAATCACTTCCCTCACGAATATCCGACTCTCAAAACCCTCTCAAAGTTGCATTAATCTCACCATCAAAACATGTAGGAGTTGCCATATATTTTTATATCAAAGAAAAAAAAAATCATATTCTGACTTTCCATACTAAAGTATAAAAATTAGCCTGAAAGCTTAGCTTAATATCATCTCAAATATTGAATGGCCTAATTGTTTAAGTGGACAGTGAATCGCTTAGCTTAATATCATCTCAAATATTGAACTCAATATGAGTTCAATTAATTGTTACATCATCATTACACTTATTATATAATTTTATATATTAAACTCTACATTCCATTAAATTCTATATAATTCAATGGATTATCACGTCATATATCATTTTCTTTTTATATATTATTATTTTGTAAAAATAATTAGCATGAAATTAAAATTTAAAAACTAAAATCTAAAAAAGCATTAATTAAAAAATTACAAATTACAATTTTGAAATAAAAAAATAATATTAATACCAATATTATATATATATATATATATATATATATATATATATATATATATATATATATATATATATATATATATATATATATATAGTGTGGGGGGTGGGGGGATAGAAATTAGTTCATTTGGGATTAAACTCCATATTCTATTAAGTGTCATGTCATCAACTCATAATAAGACTTATGAGTTTAATGAGATTCAACTACAATTGAAGATGGCTTAAAGAGGAAAAGATTTTTTTTATGTAATTTCATCGTGGTGATTGAATACCTATGATGGATGGGTCATTGAAACACCCTCGTATGAGTAGTTTGAAAGAGTTATTGATTAGAAATATATTGAAAACCGTTTTAGTATATATATATATATATATATATATATATATATATATATATATTATGAACATCAAAACCTTTAGTAATAATAATAATTTGTCAAAAGAGTGTATGATAGCTTCACAAATAATATAACAAACAAATATAAAGTGAAATTACTATTTCAAACATAAAGTCTAACAATCTTTTAAATGTCTTTATTGGTTACTAACTTAAACACATATCAAAATAGTAGGTTAGATACGAAAAACCTAATGAGTAGTTCTGGTTTAAACAAAAACAAATAAACAAATTTTAATAAAAATTCATAACCCCTTACTTTTTAAAAACTCAAAAAGAAAAAGCATCAAAACTTCAAAAAAGTGGGGAAAAGTTGCAAAAGATATAATTATACTGTCACAACATCATAAATACCAATATATCAATAATCATTAAGGACAAACAACATCATAAATACCAATATATCAATAATCATTAAGGACAAACAACGTAAAAATATTCCAGGCATGATATGGAAATCAGACCCAAACCCAAAATCATCTATAATTCACAAGTCTGTCCTTCACTTTGAAAGGGGTCTCAAGGTAAGTATACCACTAGCAAAATTTGTTAAACATCATATATGTAAAAAAACACATATCACATTATCTACATAAAGACCTCAACCAACATGATTACAATGTGTTTTTTGAACCCACTACATCAATTTAGTTTTCTTTAATGAAAACACTAAATTTAATTATGGTGATTATCATAATAACCTCTAATATATGCCCCATATTTTAATTTCATAGGAAACATCTTAATGTGACTATTGATATAAAATAAACCCTAAAAAGGCCAAAGGTATCATCTGGTCATGTAAGTGATCAAATTGGCTAGTTTGGTGGTTGGACCGATTAGCCTAAGGGGTATAACATCCGATTTCCAGAGTGGACCAGCTAAAGATTTAATGGGATCAAAGATGGAGTTTTTGGGAAAATCATGTGCCACGACGTCACACATGGGTTACCACGACATGGCAATAGTTGTATAAGCACGCAATAGTCCTGTGCGCCACGACGTGAGAAGCCTATGGTTACAACGTGGCGGCCGCCAGAAGGCTTAACCTTAATTCTGGGGTTTGTGCCCTTATTTAAGGGGAGTGAGGGATAGGGTTTGCACACCCTCAGCCTCCATCACCTCCCTTTCACCCTCCAAGAAACCATTGCCTTTATTTTGACTTTGTGGTGATTTTAGCTCTTGAAGAAGAAGGAAAAGGTGTGCTTACTAGTTAGAAGAGTGTATCGCTCCAAATCTTGCACCTCCTACATCTTGACGAGCTTGGGAAGGTACAAAACTTCCACCTTTTTGGTTCTCTCTTCATAGATTTAGGATTTATTGCATTTCTTGGCTCATCTTCGAGTTTGAGTTGGTTAGAAGAGATAAAGTTTCCAACTTTATAGCTCACATTGGTCCCTTGGGTGGTCACGACGTGGGTGTCGGCTGGGGGTTAACTTTGTCCATTGATCGTTGACTTTTGACCACTTTGACTTTTGGTCAAACTTTGAGGGGTATTAAGCTATAGTCTGAGGTTTAGCTTGTGTTCGGTTTAGGGGGTTCGTGTGGTTAATTCTGTGGGACTTTAAGTAGTGGATTTCGGCTCTTCGTTCAGGTGAGTCTTCTCATTGTATTACCTATGTCATAGTGGTATGCATGCTAGACTAGCCGAGTCTTATTTGTTGATTGTTGTTATATATGTATCTGAGTTGCTAATAACTACAGGACTGTTGATAGTCCGTTGGGTTGCTGATAACCAACATGGTTGATGATAACTCACAGGACCGTCATGAGCCCATAGGACTGCTGATAGTCCCAAAGTTGCTGATAACTCATATTTGTTTATATTGTGGTGTTGTATGTGATATTAGGACTGCTAATAGTCCTCAGGACTACTGATAGTCCCAGGGTTGCTGATAACCCAAAGCTGATTATTATGTTATGTTGTATGTGATATTTTGGAGAACTCACTATTTAAGCTTTGTGCTTACAGTTGTGGATTAAATGTTTTTAAGGTACTTAACGAATTGCGAAGGCGGGACTGTACACACACATCAACAATTTTATGGTTCGAGATTCCGCATTATTTTCCTGATAACTCTGATTTTTAATTATGGTTTATGAACAATTGATTTGACTTGAATGTAACTTTAATAAAATGAGTTTTTATTCTATTTTAAAAATGAAAAATTTATTCTGAAATTTTGGGACGTTACAAGGGAATAGTCGTATGCAGAGATTTATTTTTACATAACTTCATCATAGTGATCGAATGCCTGGGTGTGCTCTGGTTGACCTTATCGAGCTAACACTAACGGTAAAAAGAGTTTTGTAAATTCGGTTTTCGGCTTCCATATAAAGGATAATCAATCCTAATCAGTAAAGAACAACCCCCTCTATGATTTGTCATCACTTTTTGAGGTTCCAAAGCTCTTCCAAACCCATTTTCTTCCAATATGTTTTGAATCCAAGGCCCTAATCATAAAGTTCAACATCTTTCAACCATTAAAGATCATCATTCCTTTGGATCATCTTCTTCCCCAAGTTCAAGAGCTACATTAATTCATCTTTTCAAGGTTCATTCGTTTCAAGCTTCCAAGATTATCATGCATCATTGGTTTTTATGTTTGTTAGTTGATTTTACATTGGATATTATGAATTTTATATATTTCATAAGTGAGATGGAAGGTCCAACTCCTTTGAAATTACTTTTGGACACGTAGGATGTTAGGATGACTATATTTTTGATTAATGTTTTTATTCCAAGCAATTTCAGTTATTGTTTTGTTCTTAAAGTAATCATTCATTAACAATTGATGGAGACAAGTTTCATTTATGTATTTGGTACAAGTCCACAACTAAGATATTGTATTGTTAATTCACTAGAGGTTTCAAGCTCAATTAGATAAAGAATTAAGATGATTGGTTGAATCAACATACATTATTCTAAACTTCTAGTATTGAGCGTTTAATATTGTAATAGGTAATAATAATTCGTAAGACGTAATATTGCCAAACCACTCGTTCCTAATCCAAGTAGATGTATAGAGTAAGACAATTAGCCAGCTCCTACGGCATGCCCCAAAATTATATGTTACGTGTTAATTAACTTTAATTATGTCTATGTAATTAAATTGGAATTCAAGGAATATAAATATATGAATTCGAATCATCCAAACAACTGAACTAGTAGTAATCTTTTTTTAATAATTCGTGCAACATAAAGTTCTTGGCTTTTTAATCAATTTTAGTTTAAATCTATTTCCCAGAAACTACAATTATTAGTTTCTCATTGATTATTTCAACACAAAGTTTGAACACAAACTCCATGTGAATCCATACTGACTTACCCCAGCTACCTAAGGCATGGTTGGCTATTTTTAATCATATTGACAATAGTCAATCATTTGTTGATGTTGTTGTGTTTAAGGAAGGATTTAGGGAAATTGTTGACATAGAGAAGATAATAACCTCAATTTACACAGAAAAAAGTTTCTCAAAAAGTTATATGGATTCAGGACGCTAATAGGTTGACTCTTTTATCTTATTTTCGGGATGTTACAAAAATAATAAGCATACAATATATGTTCTCCATAACAACTAACAAGTGTTCTTGGATTCTACAAAACTGACAACTGATTTCGCAAATAAACTAACATTTCATTAATCAAAAGTTAGTGAGCAATTAATTTAATCAATTTAGTTACCACCTACACATAAAAACAAGCGAAACATCAAAAATCAAGGGCACCAGCCTTTGAAGAGGAGCCACAACTAGCAGAAGTACCATAAGAACTCCCACTTGAGCCATCGACAGGCGCTTGATTTAAACACTCTAAAACCAATGATCTTCGTTTTTGCAGCTTTATGGAGTATGTCGTTGCATCTAGAATTACAGGGACCTTCATACACACAAAACCATACATCATGCAAATGTTAAAATACAAAATAGCAAGTAACTTACATTTTTGGTCCCTGAAAATAGTTGATTTTTGCATTTTTGGTCCTTAAAAGTTTTTTCTTGCAACTTCAGTCCTCTTTTGAGATTTTAGTAACATTTTCGGTCCCTTTTTCAATTAAATGAGTATTTTTAGCCCCTGAATATAGCTGAATTTTGCAATTTTGGTCCTTACAAGTTTACTCTTGCAATTTCAGTCCTCTTTTGAGATTCTAGTAACATTTTTGGTCCCTTTTTCAATTAAATGACAATTTTTGGCCCATGAATATAGCTGACTTTTGCAATTTTGGTCCTTAAAAGTTTTCTCTTGCAATTTCAGTCCTCTTTTGAGATTCTAATAACATTTTTGTTCCCTTTTTCAATTAAAAGACTATTTTTTGTCCCTGAAAATAGCTGATTTTTGCAATTTTGGTCCCAAAAAGATAGTCACTTTCTTAAAACAAGGACCCAAAAACCTCAAGGACCAAGATTTTCAAGACCCAAAATTGCAAAAATCAGCTATACTTAGAGACCAAAAATGCAATTTATTCTATATAAATTAATAAAAGAAACAATAGTGTTGTTTTGTACCTGTGTGTTGAAACGTGAAACTTTATGTATACTTAGAAGCCCAAGCATATCCTGGTAACCAGTTAGGAGAGTCGCAAGCTCCTTGTCCTCATCTGTTTCAGTTTTATTTGTGAAATTATGCTACAAAAAAAAAAATTATACCAAAAAAAAAACATTTTTTATACCTGGAATTGCTTTAACGGATAATAAGGCATCAGCTAAATGTTGCAATCTTTTTGACATTGATGGTGATAAAAGAGAAGGTGGGAAGGTTAGAAAAGCAACTGTATTTGAGGAGCGAACCATGCTTTTTAATGATCTAATGAAGGAAAGCATATCCCATTCCTACAATATCATTAAGATGATATATAGTCAAAAGAAAAGTGCAGCATGTCTCTATTTAAGCTGTGTAAGCTATTGCAATGTAGTGTTTGATGAGACCACTAAAATAGCTTATAAGCTAGCTTTTTAAAAAGCTATCTGAGATAGCTTATCGATAAAACTCATGGGGTTGTTTCTTATCAAGCAAAAGCTAGCTTTTCAGCTAGTCTACCAAACACAGACTTATTCAACACATGGTTACTTACCTTGTCATTGTAGTCACATTGTGGAGCACAAAATGATTGGATAGCAATTCTTCCTGCACTTGTAATATTTCCATCATACCTAATTAGAATTATGAAAATTAGGTGTAAGAGTCAATGAAGAAGACCACTTTTAAATTTAATAAGATCAATCCACTACTAATAATAACATCAGTACCTTGGAAATTGAGATATGAACTTTGAACAACTATCACGGAATCCAGCAAGATTTGAACAATCTAAAAGGCTAAAACACTCCACACGGTTTCCCATTATCAAATGCTTCTCTATAGGCTTCCTTAGGTCAAATTCATTGCAATACTCTATTTTCCCATCTGCAGCACATTATCACAACACAAAAGATGTTTACTTTTTATACTAAAAATCCCTACAATGAATAAAAAGATACAAAATTACCTCGCTCCTCGTTATGTTGCTTATTTTCCCCAAGGTACTTCTTATATTGCCAAGCAATCCGCAAATCCTTCTACAAGCTCATAAAAAGGCAAAATTTACATAATACAGTTGTAGTTCATGCTCCTAAGGGCAATATGGGAAGAGTGAACGTTAAGTAGTACCTGTTCTGCATCAGTGTTACGAGATTTGTCATCTTTGGGGGCTAAAGTAGTTGGCAAGGTTCCAAGAAAGGCTCTAGGGTTTTTGACTGGGCTTGCATAAAGAACAGGTTGGTTGTGTACTAGTCCCTGAGACATGAAAGTCCTTAACAAAAGCATATGATGAGGTGCTTCAGTGTCTTCCATGATCATTACCAGACTTCCTAAATGGAATCCCCCACCTAAAATCTCTAGATATTACCAAAACAATTCATCCATTAGGAAATTATGTCTTATTTGTTTATTAGATGCTTTAACAAAATATAAGAAAGAGATATAGGATTTACTGTCAAGATCTGGTATGCCTGACGAAAGAAAGATTGTGCCATTTGGTCCATACTTGAGTCCAGGGACAGAAGAAGTAGGTGCAGCTGAAAAGTTCTTTGAGAAACTACTTGTCCGGACTTTGCCAGTAGCCATAAATTTCAGACAGTTTTTTAATCCTCCTGGGAAATAAGAACAAATGGATCAAACAGATAAACGGGTCTAGAGAACATTGGAGTAAATGATTTATCAATAATCATATATAATGTTTATAGAATACTTGAACTGCATCAATTTTGGAAGCAAACTACCAAAGCAGATATGTAATCTATTCTACATCGCTCATTAGTGTAAACTAGAAGTTCTCCAAACAGGATTTGAAGAAAAATTAATTTAGAACTCTCTGAACCATAGTCCGCGTGAACACAAATTCCTCAATTTTGATCAAAAATTTCGGTTACAAAATCACAATTACATTAAGCATAAGTACCTCATTAACACGATAATGAAGTAATTATACTAAACAATTCAAAAAGTGAGAGTAGTTTCAATACGTTGTTAGAGGCGGAGGAGAACCTGAATTCAAGGGACCAGAAGTCGGAAGGATGCACTGAGTGAATTCCAAAGAAGAAGCTGATGTGAGAATGAAGCAGAACACCTGACGACGAAAGTGTCTGTGTGCGAGAGTCGAGAGTCGATGATGCGAGAAAAACAATTTGAGAGTCGAGACTTCTAGATGAGAAGAAGGAGAATCGGAGGCTGGAGATGCGGCTGTGGTCTGCGGCGGCCGGCGAGGACGAGTCGACGTTTGAAGGAAAGAAAAGAGACAGAGGAGAATAACTGTGGTGTGAAGGTAGAAGCAAGTAGGAAAAGACACGACGACGTATTACAAGTTTTAAAAATAAGAAACCCGGTTTTTTAATTCCTGGTTCCGGTTCGATAACCTGAAGTCCATAACTAATTTTAAATTGGGCTAACATTGCAACTTTGAAACTAGATCATTGTAGCCCAAATCCAACTTGATTGAGCTAAGCATATAAATCATACCTGAATTGACTAATTAGAAATTGAATTACCGGTCTATTTTTAACTTTAGGGTTTTATATAAAAAAATCTCATTATTAAAAATTTTGATAAAATCCTAAAGATTTTTTTTAAACAGAAAAGTTCTGATTATTTAATATTTTGTCTAAATTAACAAAAAAGTCTTTATTTTTGTTTTAACAGAAAATGACAGATTATCATGTAAAATTAAATAATCGCGACTTTTTTGTTAAAAAAAATAATTTGACTTTATCAAAAAAAATTCCAAAATAATGAAAATTTCTGCATAAAGCCCTTATTATTACATAACAATTTCGATGCATACATGAATAAAGTTGATAACAAATTTAAGATACAATCGCATAAAGTTAGTAGAAGGATATAACTATATATAATGTCTTTTTTTTTTACTTTAAAAGCTTAATATATTAAGCATTAAATCTCAACATATATGAATTTTGTTACGTAATGATAAATTGGTCAATTAGTCTCATCAAACGGTTTATACAATCTAAAAAAGAAACAGACCTTACTGACAACACTTTACATATACATCATTACTGGTTTAAAATTTTTACCCATAGATGACTTAATGGTAAAAAAACAACCCTTCAAGTGTTTTACCCTTAAAGACCAAACCATCTTTTGATTGTTAAACAATGAAACATTGCTAATTCATTTTTCAAGAATTAAGTTGACATTGATGACATTTTGAAGAAAATAGATCAGGCAACTTTGATGACATAAAAAATAGATCTGAATTAAAAATAATAATAATACATACATGTGACGTGATGTTATAATAAAGAAAAAAATAAAAGTACATTGTTATAATATTATATCTAGTAGACACCATCACAAGAACAGTTATTCAGCTACCCTTGCCATTATAGCACTAATGCTATTTGCTCTTTCTTTAGCTTCATCCACTAGCAAATCCTGCAAAACAGATACCAGGGGCGAAACCGGAATTTTATATACGATCAAAACGGGTGTCCTATGGAAGAATTCTTACCTGTGCATCTATAATACGGTGAATCGCCTTCTTGCTTGACTCCTGAAGTTCGCCAGCAATTAAAATCTCATCCAGTATATAATAAGCCTGCAAAGTAGCCACAAATTCCACGTCAGCATGGTTGTACACGTGGCAGATGACATGGATGATATCATACCTTATGGAAATGGAAGATCAAGTCTAGCTCACAAACCTGACAAACAAATGTTCAAAAACAAAGTTACACTTCCAAATGACTTTTTAGTCCCTGAGAAGAGTACAGCTGCTTTTTGCATTTTTGGTCCCAAAAATGTTACAGAAACCTCAAATAAGGACCAAAAGTGAAAAAAGAAAAAAGCTATACAGAAGGACCAAAAATGTAATTTAGTATATTTGTTAGGGTTTAAATGGGTTACACTTCCAAAGTAACGATCAAGAGTCTCGACAAAATATTGAATAATTTCAAGGATCTCCAGTTCATTGTCTTGTTGGTTAATACACATACAAAAGTAGAGGCTGGCATACCTGAGAAAGTGGAATGTAATTAATTAGTTACATAGAGAAAAATAAAAATAAATAAATAAATAAATAAATAGTACCTCTTGTAAACAACTTTAAATCCCTTCCATTCAACAAAGTTACAAAGCTTGGGTCCTCGTGTTAGAATCATCCCACTAAGCTCTCGTATTACCTTTAAATAACAGCGTACTTTCATCTATTAAACTTATCATATTATCATTTATATGCATAAATATACTACTTCCAATTTATTTGTTCTTATTTACACATGGTAATTCAAAAATTCTAATTTTCAATGTTTTTCTTATTATTTGGAACATACCTTACTTCGTTCTTTCTGGGAATAAGGTGAATACCATTTTGTCAACCTAACTTTTCCTTGTCGGCTTAATAACAGAACAAAATGAATCTGCAAGAAAGAAAATAAAATGTTATCTGTAAGTAGCCATAATTATCTTACTAGGTTTACCTAAATTGGAGACATTTGGGGGATTAGCGGGATTTTATAAATAAAATAGATGACAATGCCACAGTGGTGGGTGATTAATAAAGAAGTAGAAGGGTAATCTTGATGTATAAATCACCTAATAATGATGTTGTGATATAAGAAATCAGGTGGGCAATTAATTATATGTCAAATTTAAGTATTAATCTAAGAAATTCATCAAGTTCTTAGGTAGTTTTGCTATGTGATTAATGGTATTATGGTAAAAGAAAAGAAAAGAAAAAGGATTACTATGGTGATTAATTGGTTGTGATGTTAAAACACTAAAATATGTTCATAAATTAGTATGAGAGTATCCTAATCTTTGACATGCGTAATTAGGATCATCATCATCATATATAACTGTATATATAACAATTGCTGTTTAACTAAACATCATATAAAACCAGAATAACATTTGCTCAGCTTGCAAATACCTCTGGTATAACATGATCAATCTAACTCAACCCAAGAATTTGATACATTCAACATTTTAATATATTCAGACAAGTTAATAGATGTATGGCATTGATCACTGAAGCCCCAATTCTACAGACTGCTATGTAATGTAGAGACGATTAAAAAAATGGAGCTCTCACCATGCTTAAATACAATTGATAGAAGCTTCACGTCTACTGACCAGATCCGAGCGAATGTACTGAAGGATGTGAAATAAACAACATCATATTATACAAAATCAATCAGGACTTGTATACAATCCCTATTCACGTTGATGCTCGATTAGAAATAGGAAAACGTACAACGTCGCACAATCAGTAAATTTTCCCTTTCAAAATCAGATCAAAATATTCATATGAATGCGAATAGGATTGAAAACAGCAAAGCATGATTACAACTCCAATTTTGATATAATCGACTGATGAGGATCCATATGCAGAACACACCTGAAAGTAAAATGAACTGGATCTGCTTTGATCGTCGCCGGTGAAACAAAGAGCACAACTCCGGTCTCCCGGTGAAACCTTTTCGTTTTGTTTGTCACTAGTCGGTTTTTCTATCGCCTACTAGTTTTTTTTTTTTTTTTTTGGATTGAGGGTGTTTGGGATTATGTAATTTTTATAAAAATTATCTAATTATGACAAGATAAATGTCAGAAACTTTAAAAATTAAAAAAACTAAAATAGTGATTGCACTGGGTCACAGCCCAGAAGCCATACAACTTGACTTGAGCAACCAACTATCTTGGGGCCCATTTTAGCCTATCAAATCATTTTTAATAAGTAAAGGTTTTTTTTTTTTTTTTTTAATTTGCCAAATGTCATTTTAGCCTATCTTGACTTGTCACACTCTCATTTAATTTGCCAAATGTCATTTTATGATTATTTTGAATTAATTTTTTTCCACGTCATTTTATAAGTTTTTTTATTTTATTAAATTCCACATAATATTTTAATGTAATAATTACAATAAATATAACAATAAATTTATATTAATCTCCATCTTCTAATAAATGAAACCTAAAAATAACACGTGCCAATTTTTTAGAATGTTTCTTTAACACGTGGCATTTTTGTATGATTTTTATTATTTCCTATTTTTGATAACAAATCAAATTCAATTTAAAATTTGAAAATACAAAATCACACCCTAATAATATTATTATGTTTATTTTTCTTAACAAATTAATTCATAATTACTTAGAATCGATAATATATTGGTTTATTTGTTTGACATTTACTATTTTTTTATTTATATAAAAAATTTAAATATACCGACCGTGGTTTCCACGGGTTATAACCTAGTAACGTAATAAGTAATAGTAGCAATGCAATTTACAAGAAAATGTGTTAATGGAATAGGGTACGAGAAAGCGTCGTAGGTTCTACTGTTCTTAAACCATCTTCCTAACTTCTTCATTGCTCGATCGGTATCAAACAGGTGCATTATTTCTCAACTTTGTTTGTCTTTCTAGAGGATTAATTGTGGATGATACGGCGATGTGTAATTTTAATTCCATCAATTCTAAACTTTAACTCTATATGTATGTGTGTTTATACGTCTATAACTCATGTTATCATGTATCTTATGTGGAAGTTGTCTTGAATGTTTATCGATCTCTGTTCTGGAAGTGTAGGAAATGAATGGGTAAGACAAGGAGTATGCTTAGAAAAAAGAAGTATGACGAGGCACGTAGCAGGATTACGATTAATGATGGCGTGGGATCTTGGTCAGATCTTAACCATGATATACTTTTCTTAGTTATGACGAAGCTTGGATTTGCTGATTTCATTGCATTTAGTGGAGTTTGCAATTCATGGAGATCATTTGCAGTATCTAACAGGAACAGTTTTATGGTGTCCATACCACCCATGCCCATATCTATATCTAATTCTACCACCGATGCTAATGAGAAACAGTACTGCCTAAAGGACTCTCAAGGAAGAAAGATGAAAACAATTGTTCCTCATTCTGCTAAGAGGTTGTGTATTGGAGTAACATGTGGTTACTTGATTTTGTTGGGTGAGGAAACCAAAGACTTCTGGCTTGTGAATCTTATCACAAGGCATGAACTTCATTTCCCTGATGTGCCCGATGAATACTTTTGTTGCCCTAGAGATGCCAAGGGTATCCTTGTGTTTTCACCTTCAATATCCGAGTGGTTGTTTCTTGTGTTTACCGGATGTTTTTTTTGTAAAATATTTGTTTCCATAGCGGGAAAACGAGAATGGACTTGTGTATCCTCCCCTTTCAGCATTCATGATTTAGTTGCTTTCAAAGGGAAGATATATACCTTACATGTCACGGGGATATGTGAAATGAAACTCTATCCTGAGCCTAAATTGGTGTTACTCGAAACCAAGAATATTCTGAACCTGGATTCCAGATTTATGGAATTTGTGACGTCTGGTGAAAATCTTTATGTGATAGATCGGTTATCTAAACATCCATACACGATTCTTGAAATAGATCTTGACCAAATGAAATGGGTGTCACCTAAAAAGACATGTGAAGAATATGTCTTCTTTCGTAGCAACACAAACTCTGCTAACCATCGCTCACTATATGACGGGAGATATGTTGTTGAAGATAAAAATGGAAAGGGTGGGTGTCTTTATGCAAGCATGTGGTATTTCTTCTTTGATTGTTTGAATGTTGATATCATACATGAGTGATGAATTGTTAGCATGTTTATCTTTCTTAGTTTCTTTTCATAACAGACACATATCTTAGAACATCATTGTCATGGTTGTTTAAAACCAATATTGTCGTACCAGCATCTTGGAATTTATTTGGGTAGATGCAACTATCAATTATATCTTATTATATATTCTATCTTATTTCCATTTATTCCTAATGTATTAGACTTTTGAGGGATATCCGATAGCTTATCAGGAATCAAATCTGGAATGTATTGCGTGTTGCACATTGGAATGATGTTTAGTTGTATTAGACTTTTGGTTTTCCCACAAAGATAACCATATGAGATATTGTCTTGGAAGAACCCTAGGATTTTGAGGGATATCCGATAGCTTATCAGGAATCAAATCTGGAATGTTAACACATGATTTTGATGACATTATCTGTATACCAGCTCTTGTTACCCGGTCACACAATCTTGTTTATCAAACAAAAGCTTGCACCCAAAAAGGAAATTTAAATTGGTTCAATCATCCTGCAGAACATGCAACAAGAAGGCAAAAGTGTGAGAACCAATGATCCATGTAGTATGTTTTTCTGCCCAATAGTTACGGCAAGCTGGCTTCTAAGCCTAATGGGTGTGGTGACATCCCATGTCTCCAACTTTTTCTGTTTTTGGTTGAGAACTTTGTTTATGAGGTGGGCTGTTAATCAATAGTTCTTATCTTAACAAAGTTCACACATTAATTTGCCCTTTAATGGAATCTTCAGCGTTTTATTCTTTTGTTTTCAAACAGTTCAATGTTTCTATTCTGATAACAACTCTTGGGGATGACAATTGGATGCATTAAGGTGATCCTTAATCCTTATATTCTTCTAAGCAAATGTATTTGATGACGATTCTCCAGAAATGTAATTTATCAAACACCTTGTAGCAAAGTTTGGTTCAATGGGTTGGGGAAGCATCTATATTAGACGCATGAAAGTTTTCTCATTGGCACTTCTAATCCACTTTACACTATAAGGTAATAAGTACTAACTATATCATTGATTGTTAAATGTTAATGCTTCTTCACATAGAACCATAGGCAAAAATGCTAGGAGTGGTAGTGTTGGAAGCATTTTGGTTGTTTTAAGAGTTGTTTGAAGCCATTTTGAGAGAAATTGAGGGAGATTTGTGAGAAATGATAGTAGTATTTGAGGTGATTAAATGGGTAGAAGTCACAAAGTTACAGGATTGGTCATTTGGTTTACTAAATCAGGCTAATTCAGTACAATAATGAAGAAGTTTATGCACTTGGTTTTATTTTTTGTGTGGTTGGTCCTTTAACCGTGTGAGTTGTCCATACTACCCTGTTTAATTTAATTTAGACTTTTCTTTTTTATATTTAAAGTAATAAAATCAGTTAAAAAAATTAAACTTAAACCCCACCATACCTTAACCCCCCACCCACGTTCTACCCAGATTTTCTTTCCTTAGGGACAAGCAAAACCGAAAAACCGACAAAAACCAATAAAATCGAAACCGAAAAACCAAAACCAAACCTAAACCGTTGGTTTTTGGTTTAGATTTTCCAAAACCGAAAAATTCTGTTTGGATTCAGTTTTGGGCTTAAAACCGACCAACTAAAACGAACCGACACAATGGTTTTAAAATCAAAAGAAGTTGACCCGGTATACATATCGTTAATTATTTAATATATTTTTAATTAATGTTATATGTTTTATTAAAAAAATAAATATAGAAAAGTTTCAAACCCCTAACCTCGTTGTTCACTAATGCTCCTCTCACAAGCATGAGCACGACTGTATAAAGAGGACATGAACCTTATCCAATATCCATAGCTTAGTAAATTGCCTAGTAGATTGTGGAAGAATATACAAGGAAGATAAAGGCTCTCTTCTCTCGTTTACATACTCTCGAGATCTCGAAGTGAAGACGACAATGACGTACTGAATTTGTTTCGTTTTATTTAGAATTGCTGGAAAATAGGTTTAAACCCAAAACCCATCAAGCCATGGGTTGACTTGGAAAACAAACCACGAAACTGAAAACCGAACCCAATGGGTTTTAAAACCCAAAACTTATCGGTTTGGGTTCGGTTTTACCCCATAACTGACCCATGTTTAGTCCTACTTTCCATTCCCTTCATCCCATTTCAAGTGATGACTACTCTATGGCCCCTTCCATCATTGTCGACAGTAAAGACAAACACCACCATCCACCCCTCACTACGGGCTTGAAGGCGTTGAATACAAACACCACCAACCATTGCTCACTTTCGTCTTCCTCCCTAACAGGCTCCGCCAGATGATCGTCGGTAAAACATCAAGGATGAAATATGGAAAACGTAGTCAGAAAAAAAAAAGTTTGGTCTGCCACTTAACACCCTACATCTTTCTCTCACTCTCTCTCTCTCTCTCTCTCTCTCTCTCTCTCTTATCTAACCTAACCGACGACCATCGTCAACGAAAATCATTTTATGTATGGGTATTCATCCCTAGAAACCGAACTCGGAAACCCTTCTCCTTTCTTGGGACCGGTTCATTGAACTCTAAAACTCTTCAAAATCCTTCATTGAAGGTAGTAGAGGCTAATGATTTTTTCTTTGAGCAATGAATTCAGGTGGTGGTCGCGGTAACTGCTGAAGAGATGAATGAGTTATATATATATATATATATATATATATATATATATATATAATATATATATATATATATATATATAGGGAAGGGTTATTTGGAAAACAAAAAAACCCTAAAAATTATAAAAATGCATAAAAAAAATACCAAGACATCACAAAACTTTTTTTTGAATTTTTTTATCAAAAAATCGCAGCATTTTTTACAATTTCGCTGAAAAAAAAATAAAAAATCAATTTTTTTTTTTTGTAAAAAAAAAAATTTTCAAAAATGTTTTTCAGCGATTTTGACCTAAAAGTTGCGATTTTTTGATAAAAAAATTAAAAAAAAAGTTTTGTGATCTCTAAGTATTTTTTATGCATTTTAATGATTTTTAGGGTTTTTTGTTTTCCATAGAACCTAAACCTATATATATATATATATATATATATATATATATATATATATATATATATATATATATATATATATATATGAAAAGGGTAAATAGTAATTCCAGACCAGATATGAAACACAATGAAAACCACAAGATCCACAATGCAAAAAATGAAATCATAAGGACCAAACACGTAAATGTCTTCTTAGTTGTACTGAATCAACCTGTTTTAACAAACCATATAGACTAATCACATAATTTTGTCTATTTTGTATCTCAATCAATGTGGGACCCATCCAACTTACAAAAGAAAATAATGGATATGACATTATAAAATAGAAGTTATCCATAATGTTGTATTTGCATGTCTTGTGAGAAATCAAACATGGTAACGAAGGGAGGGAGAAATGAGAAAAAGGGTGGCAAGCAACTTGAAGGGATATGGCACCACCTGCCTAGGCACAAAACTTTGTTCGGGTTAAAGTCATTGTTTTTTAATTTCCAAATTGGGTTAGTAGATGCTAAGGGCAAACTTATGGGTTTCCCTTATATTCAACTATAATTACGATGCATCGAAATTATTTGTTGTAGAAAAGTCGAATTAAATTCAAACTAAATTCATTTTAAGAATATGCAAATAGTTTGATTGTATTCGAACGAATCAAACTGTATTTTGGAGCTTTATGTATTGGAAAGTTATAACAAGGATATTATGTAATTATATTCTATAAGACTCAAAAGTTCTATATAAGACCCATTGCACATGTCGACTAAACTTAAAACATAATTCATGCACACAAACTAATCGACTCATAAGCTACCATTTTAGGAATAAACATTTAGGGTTAATTTGTTTTATTATAATTTTTATGTACTTATTTTTGTTTAGATTATTATTTCCTAATTGATTGCAATTTATATTAGAGTTAATAATTACAATATAGATAACCTTTAGGTTTCATAACACCTTTGGTCCAACTATTTGTCTTGTTGCAACATTGATCCCTATTTCAAACTATAGCAATGTTAGTCCCTTTGACTAACGCTCATTAGTTTGATCAAGGTGTCCTCTTAGTCCCTTTGACTAACGCTCATTAGTTTGATCAACATGTCCTCCTTCATAGACAACAATATTGTGGCATTTGTCAGCATCTTTCACAACCTATACTCCTTATACTCCTTCAAAGGCCACAAAGGCAAAGAAATTGTCAGCCTCTTCATCAATATGTACTTAATCTTCATCCAATAGGCCATCATTAAGGTAGTTTTCAGTCTAGTACTCGGTACTCATAGGAAATGTCATGTTTTGTGTAAGCTTTAATTTCCTTGTATGTAATAAAAATGATGTATTCATCGTCCTCTAGGGTTATTAGGCCATTGCCCATATCAATTATGGGCATCAAGAAATGGTGACAACTTCATCATACTTTAGTTTCCTCATCATGGTATAAACATCTAACATGGTAAAATCATACATGTCAATCACATCGAAGCAGTCAACTTCACCATTAATGAACATTCTTCAAAAGGTGAAGAACCCACATAATGCATCTTTATCATGAAGATCTTGGCATAGCCTAGTTTAGGGAATAATAGAAATTCATACCTAATAAATGACAATCAAAGTAAACAACATACAATAAAAAGTTAAGAACTATGAATCAAAAGGAAACAACATAGACTCAATGTTTAGAACCGAAACCCTATTGTCTACTTGATTTAACTCGATTATCGTTTAGGGTTCAATGGTGACAGATGACCGAGTGTTGATGTACTCACGACGGTAGAAGAAATAGAGAGACCATTGGCAAAAGTACCAAATTACTATCATGTGCATGGCACATGAGGGTTCTTGATGAAAGAAAACTAATGGCCGTTAGTCCAAGGGATTAACCCTGCTAATATAGTTTCACATAAGGACCAATGTTGCAACAATGTAGATAGTTGGACCAAAGGTGTTGTGAAACCTAAACGTTAGAAACCAAACATGTAATTTACTCTTGTAATTAAGATAAT